TTTTTTTTTTTGGTTCAGTTTTGCGTTCGGCCCGAACGACCGAAGTGAAACTCCGACGAAACAGTTTGTCACTGATACCACGCGGGGCGTGGGGGCGCAGCCAGGACGGCGGCGGACCGGCGATCGCACAGAACTGTCTCGAGAGACACGCAGGGAAAATCACGGGCATAGCAGGGACCCCGAGAGGAGGGGGTAAATTATTTGTAAAGGACTACAGGGTCTGTGGTGTCAGCCTGCAGTCCATTTGCCGCTTTTCGTTGAGTCGACGGTCGTTAGAAAAGGCGAAAACGGGAAATCGAGCCGAGCTGGAGAGAGGGCAACAGAAAATCGTTGAGGAAGGCCCAAAAAAAAGGCAAAAAAAAGGGGTATAAGGGGACTGAACACTTCCCTAGAATGAGGACAGAAACATTGCCAGATTTTGCCAGACCAAAAGAAAAACTGGTCCCGTCGATCTCCGTGGAGAACGAACGGCCAGATAATCATGAAAAACTTTCCCATACCAGAAAGGGCCGCACGACCAGACGCGCACCACCATTTCCCACGACCGCCGCCGCGTTCCCTCACAAGACTACCGGTCGGTGCCCGGTTGGCTACCGCAACCCTATTAATCTCGCAACGACGCCCTCTAAACCCGCTTACCCGGTCCACGACATTCCCCATATGGAAAACGGCCGCTAAATGACAAAAGACATCTATCTATATGCAGCCATCCTGGCTGCGAACAGTCCCTCCTTTGTTGTCCTCTTCTCCCTCTCTACCTACTGTTTACGGGGTTGCTTAAACCACCAGTATATCCAGCTATTCGCCGTGGGCCCTTTTCGGAGACCGCCCGCCGCCGATTCGATTTATCTACGTCGCAGGGCCTCCAAAAATTTTGTAGGTGATGATTTTTCTTTTCAGCAAGGCTGGGGATGTGTACTCGCGGTTTAAGGTTAATAAAACTCATCAACCCTCAGATATAATATATATATATATATATATGTATGTATATATGTATAGGGTTCAGCCTCCTGATGAGTCGGTGAAACTTCGACAAAACAGTTTGTCACAGCCCCTCGTTTGTTGTCCTCTTCTCTCTCTCTGCCTATGGTTTTACCGGGCAGTTCTGTTTGTGACGATATATATGTATACATCTATATATATATATATATAGGACTTCCGAACTGCAACGACAACACTCACTCGTCGCATGCTTTCTCGTGGCCATTCCCCACCAACCCTCGCTAAAGGATGGACCGGCTACACACGCTCCCACCAACGTCGCTATCCTACACAYGTCACCCGTCTCTCTCAGTGGTTCCGACGCATGCTGCGATGGTCCTTGCATCACCCACTTTCTTCTATATCCCCACATCGCGCTCGTCCTGTCACTGCTTGTTCATCTGCTGCTAATGCAGTTCCCACTGTTGCGGTTCCCACCACCGCCGCTTCCACCGTTGTGGTCTCCACTGCTGCAGTTTCTACTGCTGCTGTTTCGACTCCGGGTTTCACTCGAGTAGTTTCTGCTACGGAAGTTGCCTCCGCTGCTCGTCCTGACACTGGTTGTTCATCTGCTGCTAATGCAGTTCCCACTGTTGCGGTTCCCACCGCCGCCGCTTCCACCGCTGCCGCTTCCACCGCTGAGGCTTCCACCGCTGTGGTCTCCACTGCTGCTGCTGCTGTGGTCTCCACTGCTGCAGTTTCTACTGCTGCTGTCTCAACTCCGGGTTTCACTCCAGCAGTTTCTGCTACGGAAGTTGCCTCCGCTGCGGTCCCTGCTACGGAAGTTGCCTCTGCTGGGGTTCCTACTACAACACTTGTCTCTGCTGCGGTTCCACTTTTTACCACTTCCTCTGCTTCTGTACCTCG